ATCCTCAGAGTATCTTTTGACCGACGCGACCATGAGCAGACAGGGTAATCACTCTGTGCCCAGGCGGTAATATTATGTTGCTATTCACATGTGGTGGAAATGTTTGTGATAACTGACAAAGAGCACTGCTTAGTCCTGTTTGGGACTCGTCAGCCGTGCGTAATTTTTGTGTCCCCGTGAGGACTCCAACCGCGAGTCTTTGGGTTGGGACTTCGAGCCTTTACCTGTGAGCCACTCGGTCGACGGTCATAACCTTATACGATCTCCCAAGGGAGTGCAACCCACACCCAAGAACATCAAGAGTGTCTGGTGCCTCTGAACAATCGAATGGGCTAATCCAAGCTTGCTACTCCAAAATTATGGTACTATGTTCATAAGTTGTCACTCAGAATTAAATACGAACTTGATTTCTCTGGTGAGTATCAAAACCCTGTAGATGTCATGTTCTGTTCTACCTCACATGTCTTGTCTCTCCCGTGCATATCCGGGATATCGAACCTGTGTAAATCTATTTGAAGGTCACCTCAGTGCAAACAACTGCTAAGACACCTCAAATTTTCAATACGAATGCTGCATTTCAACAAACAACAAGGAATCAGTGCTTCTAATTTCTGAGACAAAAGTTGCTATTGTTCTTATCTTGCACTCCAGTTCCGGGTTGCAGATTAACTCATATACGATCTGCACTCAGTCCATACAGTTTAATTTTATGCACATCGTTCTGAAGAGCCTTCAATGTCAGGGTACGGACCAAGGGCTGTTGATGAATTTAAATGATCAAAATCTAAATAACACATTACTGTTACTATGGCAACTTTAGATCTATTCACAAGGCATGCAGTCTGTCCCAGATTTTAAAGCTGTTTCGATTTTTACATGAGAGAGTAATGGAGAATTTGATTCAATTTCAAAGAGGAAATTCGTCGTGTATAGAGCAAATGAAGCTTGAACTGAAAAGCTAGGAAGCACTGGACAGCTGTCTCGACCTGGCTGGGTCTCATCAATAGTGCGAATCCATCGACCCGACCGGGGATCGAACCATGGACCTTGTAGGCGGAACAAAAGAATACTACCCACCCGACCACCGGGCAGCTGATCAGATCGTCTTTCATTTTCTATTTTCACGATACAGCACAACCCATCTTTGCGAGCTTGTTGCGGGCAACGGACCTCGCTCAGCTCAGCACTAGTCTCCGGGGTTATAAATCCGTTGCAATAAATACGACGAATTTTCCATTTTAAATTTCCATTTTTACTGGTTATGAATTCTCATGAACTCCTGTGTCAACATTATAGCGGTTCTTTAGTGGTACCTCGTGTACAAAACTCAAATAGAAATATGAAATTTTAATCCCACTTGTCTCATGCAGTACTTTGTCTTCTCATCTGTGATCTGCACAGGCATGGGTACCGATTGTTTCGTTTTTTTAATTGTATACATAATTTGCTCCTAATAATTCCAGATGGTTCTGAACAGCTGATCACACACACGTTTCAATCATCGCCATCAACCGATCTCATAATAATGTGACAAGTTATGTTGGGTTTGTCAACACCACTTCTACTCTTTCCCCCCACCAGCCCCGTGTGTGTGTGTGTGTGTGTGTGTGTGTAATTTACCTACCTGACTTTGGCATCTTCATTCAACTATGCCTGTCGGATGGGATGACGGAACATGAGAGGGATGAGTCTCTGTCTGCAAGCGCATGCCTGCCCGAACGTGTTGTCTCGTATTCGAAACTGTCACCGCCCGCCCGATACCAAAGATCTATGTTGGTTGGGATAGACGTGGGGGGGCTCGTGCAAACCTTGACGACGTATGTGCATCATCTACGTTTGTGGTGTTCACTGCTCGATTGCTAGTCTGATGTCCGAGATTTTGGCTCGACCTTTATCCGACCGATTCGAAGCAATACGCTCGTATGCTTACTTGTGTGTGTGTGTGTGTGTGTGTGCACGCGAAGAGGAGTGTGGCACTGTGTTCTTTCCCCGATCGCCTGTTCGAGACCATATACAGTCTTCTGTGGTGAATGGGCTTCGAATAGAGCAATAGCTCGAATGACATTTCGAATGGACACACGCACATATGTACGCACGCGTGTGCGCACTCGTCTTTGTGTTGACAAGTTTGGCAGCTGTTCTCTCGTCGCAAGTTGTCCGACGATTTCGCATGTGTTCATCCCCGTGCGAAATGAACAAATCACTGCGATTCCCAATGGGCGGTATCATTTAGCGTTATGTTCGACCGTCAAAGGTTTGGTTTTCCACGCAAAAAGGTTATATACCCCGGGTGGGGATTGGTAATCTTTTTTTCTGTGTGCATTGTCGTTGTCGTCCAACTGGAAGAAACCTCGTTCGATTATTTACTTCTGTGATTTGGGAGTTGAGCGGTGCCATTTTTCTATGGATATTGTAAACTGAGTTAGGTAATAATGAGAAAACTGATCGATATCGACGATAAAGATTTGTGTAAAAAACAGAAATGATTTAAAAATACTGCAAAGTTGCAACACTCCTCAGATGTGATGGAATTTCGTGTATTCTGGTCAATACAGAGCACAGGTGTTTCGTCCTTGTTTGGACTCCTCAACAGTGAACGCTGTATTTGTGTCCTTGATTTGGTTTGGGAGTCGAAACCATCAAGCTGAGCTACACGATTAACAGACAACATATTGAACATATGCGGCTTATACTGTACGTAGAAATTCCCAGACACTAGGATCTATCCGTGTATCTGTCCGATTGTGTGAGTTCAACTCATTGGGAATTTGAGCATCCGTTCCATGGCAACGCATTTAGAGATACGATAGAATTTTGTACCACAGTTTTGTTGAGTACCCTCGGCTAAGTGTGACTATTATCACGACTGTCATCGGGTACTGAAGCCAGAAACGAAAAGACAGAATTCATTTAGCTTCGAGATGTCTATCCATTTTGTTTCGCCATTTCTATATCTTTTTCTTTTTTTATCTCATTTTAATTCCTTTGATTGAATACCTAAAGAGACAATTTTCAGGAAGGGGGCAGCGGTCAATCACGGGCTGCCATTCAACATGCATTGGGGAAATTCAGGCGGTGGTGGTGGGATTCGAACACAAATCCCCGGGGGATTACTTGATGACGTTACCACCGGGCCATCACCGCCATCTGTACATTTATTTTGAGTAATGAAGCTCAATTACGAGTTTGCTATAATATCCGTGAAGATTTCAATTCTGTCCGAAGCAGTGACTGGATATGATATAATCCAATCGAACCTTGGACTTGATCAGCCGCCTCGGTATGCGACGCGTAGTAGCAGTAGTGATGATAATAAACAGTTCTCCTCGATCCGGCAAAGGATTTTTTGAATTATAGGAGTAGTAGTAGTCTTGTAATTCCAAAATGTTGTGCCTTGTCGAGAACAGTTGACTCTTGTGGATTACAGTTAAGACGTCAATAGTTTGGCGTACATGTAACAAAGCATCTCATTTGAAACATGTCATCACGATTCCCGGCGGTACAAAGGATAATGAATGAAACGGTCGGTAGTTATTCTTTAGAGCACAGCAATTCGCTTTAAGTGTTGTTTATTTTGGACCGTTGAAATAAACCACTAATTGCATCTTTTTGCGAACTACTCACAAGTGTAAGTAGTATTTCACAACAATAGTAGTAGTTGTTGTACGATTGCTTTCTCTCTATTACATATTTCCCTTTTGGACAGTCAGTGGAGTAGATCGGTTCATACAAGCGACACTACACAACAAGAGTCTAACAGCAGCAGAGTTCCCTTGTTTCTTTCCTAAATTCTAGATAAACCATCGTGAGCATAAATATAACATAAACTTTGTGATTTGCGGGATTTTCAAATCATATGAAAAGAAGAAATAAGGTATGTGTAGCGTGATTACGCACGAAAGACAGACAGGAAAAATCCTTAATGGATTTTTTTAACTAATAGACAACTGTGGTTGCTCTGATTCAGATGGAACTCAAACCGAGACGGTGTTTAGAATCCATTAAATGGACACTAAACTATGGTATTCTCCCCTCGATGTAGATTTATTCATATACTCAGATAATTGTGCTTGAACACCAGAATATTGTTTGATTATCACAAACTCTATCATCTGTAAACAATTCGATCGATTGAAGCAAGTCCAATAGAACTGATGCACCAGGCAGTGTCAACCTAGCGGAGAATTGTCTTTCCGGGCCCGCTTTTATTCGGATCCATCAGGAAGCTTACTCGACCCTAAATACCACAAAAACCATTAGCAAAACCTTTTCACTTGGATTAAATAACAAGTTAGTTATGAGAGAAATTTCCCAGCGGAAACGACACGCCGATCCAACCAGTTGTTGTGATCATTATTAGCATATCTAATCCGGTCTGAAAACAATTTATATGGGCATTCGGATGTTCAGGCAAATGGTCCTAAGAGCTCTTCTTGTCTGAAATTACTTCCGGGGGTCTAACTGATTACTCTGCTGGCCATCTGCCTCCGGTAATTTGCTCTCATAGTAAGTATATGGTTGATTGATTTGGCTCATTTAAGGCGCGATCATCAGGCACAGCTGCGTTCACATTTTCTGGGGAAAATGACACAATATGACAGTAGCAGTCTCTACCCAAAACAATGCGAACAGTGTGTGGTCCTATAAATCAATGTCAAGGATTGGTTTTGTCAGAACTGTGTTAAGGTTTACGCGATTGATATAATATGGGAAACAAGTTCAAAAATCCAACTCCTAGCCCTCAAAAGTGTATAAGATGTGCGCGGTTGCATTATCGAAAATAGTCCATTAGATTGATGCACACATTTTGAAAGCAATAGCTTCAATCGTTTGATAGATGTAGAGGCAAATCGATCACCTTCTGTTGTACGTTTCTGCTATGGCATTCGCTGTGACACTTTCGTGACTGAATGTCCAATCCTGTTATTTGATCAACAGAATTAGAATAATTTCCTCCTCTTTTTCCCTTCCTTCCCTTCCCTCTGGTGTGACTCCATCAGTCCGTAACAATGTGATAAAGCCATTACCGTCCCCGGGCATCGCCTCAGACCCAAACAATTTATCTGGTCCACTGATTTTCCTATCTGGATCAGCCCCTTTACCAACCGATCCCTACCCAGGATCCAACTCTCTCCGTGCCCTGAGTATGAATGTAACTCGTTTGGGCGATTCTCTGCCCATTGAGTCTGAACCCACTTGGATGAGTATTAGTGGAGATCGGCTGGGAAAATTGGGTCACGAAATATTCTATCCACCACCACCACCACTACCACCACCACCGCCACCACCACCACCAGCAGCAGCAGCAGCAGCAACCTCTTCACTGTGCACGTCTGATCCAAGCCTACCGTTATCTGAGATGGAATCGATCAATGGCATGCTACGCAAAACACCAACGAAATATCCGGTCGACTTTTACGACCTGAACGATCCGCATCGAACGCTTCGCCTAATCCCCGGACCGAACACATTTCGTTCGGCTGGCTCGGACTCATATCCACCCATGATATCATCCCGGTCACCTTCACCGAAAACTGGGAAAGTTACTGGATTGGATGGTGCACTGACGGATCCGTCCGGTTCATCGGACGGGCGTGGTGAAACCCAATTCAATGTGTCCTATGCGACTGAGGAGAACAAACAACCCCTGTCTAATTCAGCCCGCTTGAAAGGTTCTGTGTGTGAATTCACAGAATCACAAAGTTCGGTGAAAACACCGACACCGACAGAATGTACAAAGGAAGAACCAGTTTCACGAAATTCCTGTGATGAGAATCAACACGCCGGTGTCGTTCAGTGCGGTAGCAGAGATAAGCGTAGTGCTGAGATGGTTCAGACAGCGCGGAGTATTGTCCTCGTGAGACAGGATCAAGATCAGGCTGAGGAAGACGAGGAAGACGATGAGGAGGGGGAGGAGGAAGATGTGCTTGGTCAATTAGACGATGAACTTGCAGAAAGCGCTCAGTGTAGCCTGACCTTTGCGGACGAGGATTGCAGTCGTCTGGGTGATGAAGACGAATTGATGAGTGAATCCGTACAAGGTTCTCCAGGGAGATTCATGCATATGCTTCGACATCAGCGACAAACACAGCAGCAGCAATCTCAAAATCATCGATATGAACAACAATCTTCTCCGACAATGGGTCATTGCGGTGTGCCACAAAGTGAAGCATCTTCCCAAGCCAGTATGGGCAGTGAGAATGGACGATGCAATTCGGCCACCACGGGCCAAATGGGCGGTGTCCCCGGTAGTGGTATGGGCAACGGTGGTGGCGGTGGCGGTGGAGGGGCAAAACGTCGTGGACCACGAACCACCATCAAAGCAAAACAGTTGGACACTCTGAAAGCCGCGTTTGCAGCGACACCAAAACCGACAAGACACGTCCGTGAGTCGTTGGCTCAAGAAACCGGTCTGTCCATGCGTGTGATACAAGTACGTTTCAGATTACTCATGATTCTTGCGGACTTTTTGATGTTTGATGAGTAAACTCTCGCTGTTCTATTGCTCCACATGTTTTTTCTTATTCTGTTTTGTTTTAAGAAGGAAACGAAAGTAGCAATTTTGTTTAAATAAATTGGGATAATGTAATATATCGTATGTGAATGAAACTGAATAAACGCATGGCAGATGTAATAAAATTATTGATTGTGAATATCTTCCCAGGTTGTTATAATGGATTACCTGTCACCGACAGACTTCTTAAACAGACTGTGTCCACTTACGGTTCTCGTGAATAGACTTGAGGATATCATTCACTTCATTGCGAACTGTTCCCAATAGGGGAATCGTCAACTCGTGCAAAACATCGACTCTGATTTTGACACGAAAACTAGTAGGAAAGGGGATGAGAACACTTGAGGTGTGCTATTAATACTTGCTCCCCTCCTCCCTCACATGCCTCAGTCGTGTGCTGTTGTTTTTCTCATCGGTCAGTAAAATTAATCTGTACATTTTTCTCTTATTCAAATGTGAAAATTTATGCAGATTCTTGAAGGTCTAATTCTCGGTTGAGATCTTTCTTTTAAACGCTCGTAACTGCTCGTATTTTTGCATCACGTGATCACTTCTGTTTTGTTTCCCCTGGGCATTCCGAGTTGCTTTCTCACAATCAAGCCCGTCGATTGCACTTAGGAGCAGTCACTTCACCTCCGATCCTCTCCCACCCCCGCGTGCCTCACGGTTTCCGGGACCATCAAACGAACTGACGAGCATTGTCAGTTTGGAAGTTCGTTTTCCTTTTCTGAACAAAAACCCCACGTTTGTGTCATTTCTTTGCTCTACTTAAAACATAAATCTGTGTATCATTTAACCTGTAATGGAGATTTGATGAATGAGAAATTTTTCCTCACTTTTTTATGAATACTTGATTACATCGTCGTTAAATTCCCCATTTTTCCTTGGGGAAAATAGCTATTGGAGACAAAGTGAAAGTTTATGTGCATTTGTGTACGTGTGTAACGAACACATTCTTGATCTTTAATGGAGGCCAAATTTCTGATACCATAGCCGAGACAGTAGTTTGACTTGGTTCGATTCAATTTTCCCCACTTTTTGTTTGTTCATCCGTGAGAAAAATTTCAGTGGTTCCCTTCTGAATGTACTAGGATGTAAGCAAGAGAAACCTCTATTACATTTGCAGGGAGTGGTATCCATATAGACAACCCCGACAAATCATTTCGAGTACAAGTGTAAGAATAACAACTCTGATCACTTGTCAAATTTATTTGACTAATAAAACAAAGGTATTGTTTTTTCCCCAGGAAATCTTGTAAACCACACAACGTTGTTGAACAGAGGTTATGTATTGCTCAACTTTATTTTTTCACTTAATTAATAAGCAGTGCTTATTCTGGTGCTTTCTTCTTAACACAATTCCTATGACAATTTCGTACGAAGTTTCTAACTAGTGAACAAATCTGATTTGATTCGAACGTGATTCATCACTTGATATTAACGTGTCACATTTACCACCGGTGGAAAATCTTGGAAGCATATCCTGTACAACTGTTTCATGCGAGCTGGAGGTGTCAGCGTATTCTTCCATCCTGCAATTTGTCTCCCCATGGGATGTTGTCCCATAAGATGATAGAATCAAATCGAAATCTGTCCATTATTATCGTATCTACAAGAAATCACTAATTTATATGTTCAAGCTATCCATATTGCTGTTAGACCAAGAGAGCAGATTTGCAATCGGGAAGTTAATGGACATGCCACAATGTGTAGAACTGATGATGGCTATTGTGGCTCAGTTTTTGTTTGGGGTCATTTCGCTTGCCAGTGAATTTGTCAAGCGTAAGCTTTAGTCGACCGAGTCTCGGTCGAGACTTTGGTCGTACACCGATAAATATATACACACCAATCTTCTTGTGGATAACGGCCGTGAGTGGATGAAATTTCATGTGTGTGTGTGTGTGTGTAGAAGGTCACTCACCATTTGTTCGCCATCGAGGGACTCACGTTCCAGCCGATGAATTTCACCTGAATGCCATTTCGTGAACGCCGAGTGTGCCCACCTTCTGTCGCATTTCGGACACACCACCGCCGAACCCAAATTAGTCGCTACCACACCCCTCTCACCCTATTCACTTCACCCTCAATATCACCCGTGAGTCTGACCTCGTACGAAAATTGTCCTTTCTTACGCGACCCGCAACAACACTTGTGAGAGAGATTGTCTGAAACAGGACCTAACCCTACGTGGACAACACACTGGGAGCTGCAATCAACCTAGCAACCGCGAATGCATCCGTGTGTTGGAAAACTGGCGGACATTTATTCGACGTGCGAGTATGTGAGCACGCGTAAAATCCATTTGCATGTCATCGACTTGAATATGCCTTATTTCATTCCCTCATTATTTTATTCCGTTATGTTGAATACGTGAATACGAACAACACAATGTTCAAGAAGAGGAACATTCGAAGGGCTGTGGGGCCAAGAAGAAATGGGGAAATTCGGGCTGTTGCGGTAGGGTTTGAACACACCACCCCTTGAAATGATGAGTAGATAACCTTTACCGGTTGATCACCATAGCCCAATTGGAGAATTAGAAAAATATATGTAAATATGGAGAACTAAATGTTGTGTGCATGATTGTTTTAAAACAACGCGTGATACCATTATCATTGTGTAAAATTTAAGCGAACGCAATTTATTGACAACCGTCAGTCCTCATCGGGAGAGGTGTGGCACAGTTAACTTTTTTATCTTGATCATATCAACTGTTATCGACTGGTTATTTACCCAGCCGACGGCAAGGCTACACAGCGATTGGGATAAGCAATTTACCCCACAGACATTCGGTGTGGATCCCTATTGAAACGACCCACGTTTTCTCTCCCTCTCTCTCTCTCCGCTTTCGGGCATTTGTCCAGTCGTACTTCATCATCAACCTCCTAGCGCGTCCGGTTACGGAAGTTTCTATGATTTGTGACCAGGGCTGTAGGATTTTAACTCAATCTGGGGTTTATCGGCCCGTGTCCCTGTTGAGCCATTGAATCCGCACACTGTCAATCAAGCTATCCCACAGAGTATCCGTTAAGCCATCATTTGTGTCGGTGGTGTCGGTAAATAGGTGCGTCGTTGGTCAGAGTGAGAAGATAGAGGGATCACATTCGCCCCGGTTTTGGTGAGTTCTAGCGAACCTCATTTGCATTGAGGCGTTAGAGACTGAAACGGTGCGAAAATCCAACCAAACGCGATACCTCTGTCTATGTGTGTGTGTGTGTGTGTGTGCTTGTCCCTATTGGGGCGTGGCGCTGCAATGTGCGGGCAGGAGTGGGGGGGG